CCAATAAAAATGACTGCAATTGGAGTATATTTGAGACAATTGTTAAGAAATGTACAAATATTTCATATATTGATTTCTTTTCTTGTTGTCCCGAAGACAAAGCCATTGAATTACTTATCAAACATTGTTTTCATTTGACGGACATTCACATTAACTTTTGGGACATTAGTGTCAAAACAATTGATAAGTTTTTCACTAAATTTGGTCCACAATTGAAATCAGTTAATGTCTTCGGCTTTAATGAAAGCGTAGATCAGAATTGGATTCAGAAATGGCTCGAAATGTGTGTAAATATGCAGACATTTGGAACGCATTCCGATTTCAAACCAAGTCTTACATTACAATCGCTTATCGAAAGCCGAGTGCCGTTTAAACGACTCAATTGTATTGATTTAACACTATTTCTGGACGATTCAAATCACGACCTGAAAGCACTTATACAGGCATTGGAAGCGATTGAATGCAAATACGGACACAAATTGAAGACAAAATTAGAGGTTTGGGCAGAAAGTGATGAGAATAACGACCAAATGCTAACTAAACTCTTAGATTGTTTGCCGCGAATGCAGACATTGGTTAGCCTTAGTCTCGTATTTTATTGCGATTATTCAGCTGAAGAGTTGATCCCATTATTGGTCAACATTGGTATCAATTGTCGGCGTTTGAACCGTCTTGGTATTACTGTACAAGATTTCTCTTCACAATTGATTCCTACGATTAGTGAATACTTTATGGCATTAAAGAGTCTCTCGTTGTGGTACAAGTGTGTCGTCGATGAGCCGCTGACCAGCCATTCATTGGCGCCTTTGAAACAATTAACAAAATTTATTTTTGTGGTGCGATTGGGATCACAACGAGAGCCCATATTTTACGGACACATTTTTCGCTAATATTGACCACAATTTACCAAATCTTCAGTATTTAAACTTATATCACGTGAATATCAACGACGAGTCGTTGATATCATTGTCTGGTTTGAGACAAATCCGTGGAATAGATCTCTTCGGAAATACTGATGATTGGAAACGAGATGTGAGTGAAAAGTGTGTCAATAATCTCATCAATAATTGTCCCAAAATTTGTTTTATTAATTTTGAAGACCGCTTTGAGGACAGGGTTGAAATTCTTGAAGCGTGATTAGTGAATAACCATGCTAATATTCAACATATAATTCACATATAATAGTGTTCTTATAAGTTATAACACATTTGAATATTGATAATGCTGTGTACACTCAGGTGAACGGTTTGGTCACTTATGTTTATTTCAATACTTATTAAATAAATTAAATAAATTTTATTTAGTATTCTTACGCTTAATCACGACAAATATAACACATTATAATAATACAAACTATTGATATATTTTAAATTATAACAAATTATAACTATAATTATATTGATAATAAAATAAAAATATTTTATACATTAAATTGTGACCGATATAACAAAATACATTCAAATATTATACGTAATTTCAATGCGCATGGTCATTTTTACAATGAAATGTCTTATTAGTAGATTATGGTGACAAATATCAACTCTGACCACATTTGGCCACTTATACAATAGTACACCGTTTGCGAGCCATAGCGATGGCAAACTGGGCGTACAGTTGTGGTACATAACTGTCCCATTTAGCAAGGTAGAAGTTTGCAGCCACGGGTTTGCCCAACCCGTGCTTACGGGCGAAGTCACGTATTTTAAATGATCGCCGGCCCTCCAGATCCCTACTCGAAACGCACCGGTCATTGCAGTCCAAAGCACCGGTCGGTTGTCTATACACCACAAACACATACCGATGAAAGCCTGACCCGTGTGGCGGACCGGAGCCTAAATAGTCGGCCAGTGTTTTGCCGGCCTTTATGTCAGTGCCGGGTATGTTCACAACCAACCAGTGTTTGAACTCTCCGTGTGTGGGCTTTGCACGGGAGGGCGCGTCCGGGTCTGTCATACACAGCGTATAGAGCGCTCCGGCGACTGCCGGCCACTGCAGACTCGGCACGTGTTTCACTTGTTTGGGCGCCAACTCATTGCCCAACTCTACGGTCTGTCCGCTCGGGTATGATATCTGGTGTAAGAAAATATTGAGTATTTGTTGCAATATTTGAGTTTATATTGTGTTCAACTAATTTGTGTTAACTAAATTCATTACTACTTGAAAAATGTGTATAGTTTTAATATCATAGTTATATTAATTAATATTTAAGTTATTTAATTGAATAATAGGTCAATAAGGGGACAGGGATGTAAATAATTAAAAGTTTTTACATAAATAAATATGTTTAATTAATTTAGCTAATATTAGTTACACCGTATTAACTACTGTATTATGAATGGTAAAGTCTATCAACAAAATGTTTTAAAAATACTATATTACCTGGATAACATTTGGTGGTACGTTATCTAACACATCGGGCACAATTTTATGTTCATCCATTTGTTCCTTACTATGTGTTTTCGTACGTATACTAAATAACAATCATAATAAAGTTATTTGAACGCAAGTTGGTTAATTATACGCTATTAAACGCACTAGTTAACAAGTGGGTTTGACGCAATTATATAATAAAATCAACTAAAGTCAACTAAAAATTTTTAATAACCTGTACTGTATATTACTCTATGCTCAAACATAAATCTAGTACACTTGCAGCTTAAACAATAGTAATGTAATTTTGCATTCACTTATATACTAGTCAATTTGTGTTTGTATACGTTAGTACATTTAGAACATTATGTACAATTTACATTAATGTAATTTTTATTTGAGTATTTATGTAGATATAATACATGTTTAAACACAACTAGGTTACCAATGGAAACCTTACTACAATATAATAAAATAATTGTAAACGTAAATATCATCTTAATCAATTATTAAATACTGACAATAACCTTGGACATATACACTAACTATGCACTAATGGTTAGGGGCATTAATTGTTTGGCATGTTCGTACATCTTTTTCTTTAGGTTTAGGCTTACTTTTTAATGACTTTACAAGGGAATTGATTCATATAATTAGTGAACACTTTATTGCATTAAAACGGTTGAAAATTTACGATCAATTGTTATCCGCAATGTTTCTGACAAGCAATTCATTGGCGCCATTCAAACGGTTAACTCATTTAATACTTTGGTCAGAGTATATAGAGTATGAAATATACTTTACGGACAAACTCTTTGTAAATATTTGTCACAATTTACCGAATCTCCAGTATTTGTTTGTAAAGTACGTGAAGATTACCGACGAGTCGTTGATATCATTGTCTGGATTGAGACAAATCCGTACCATTACTCTCACCGCATGTGCTGAAGATTGGGACAAAAATGTGAGTGAAAAGTGTGTCAATAATCTGATCATTAAATGTCCTAAAATAATTTCATTAAATTCAAGTAAAATTACAATTCAATAAATAATTTTCAAAAATTTTATTATCAATATATTAATTCAATTCCTTATGTTGTAAATTAAGTCATTAAAAATTCACGATTTAATGTGTACTAAACTATATATTAGCAATTATTTGATAATTTAGTTTGAATAAAATTGATTTCTAAAATCATATAGTTTTATATGAAAAATACATTTCACATTTTGTCTATAATGTGTTCAAAGGTTACATTTTATGCAATACTTTACTATTTGTATGACTAAACAATACGTTTAGCTTAAAATACTGTGTTATTAATACATCTTTATAAATAGCGTGAGCCAAGTGACGACCACGATCCCTAAAGCGCTACCTTCTATGGGGTGTTAATATATGAATAAAGGTATTTACAGTGACATCTAACGCTATGGTCGGTGCGGTGGCTTACCCTATTTATAAAGAATTAAACACTTTTTGATTATTTCATCTAAATTTTGAAAATTTATTTAAAATATTTGTTTACTTTCTGACAAATACTATTCATTACTTAATTCATTCTTTATATTATTTTTCTGTTTGTATTATAGGATATAATATTATATAAACAAAATATAAAATAACTATTTCCCAAAATATTTTTATCATAAGCTAAAAACAATTGCTGAACAATAACTTTATTGGTTTGATTTAGTTTTCGTTGGTTTACTTTTTGTAGGTTTAGTTTTTGTTGGTTTAGTTTTTGTTGGTTTAGTTTTTGTTGGTTTAGTTTTTGTTGGTTTAGTTTTTGTTGGTTTAGTTTTTGTTGGTTTAGGTTTCGTTGATTTATAATCTATTGCTCTCTATAGTGAACATCCTATTAAGTTAACTATTATTGCGTTCACAATATATTTTTGTTGTTATATTTGTTTATTTTACAATATATCTATATTTTTCATTAAAATTTTGAGTAAAACCATTGACTAATTGTGTTTAGTTTTTGTTGGTTTAGTTTTTGTTGGTTTAGTTTTTGTTGGTTTAGGTTTCGTTGGTTTAGGTTTTGTTGGTTTCGTTTTCGTTGATTTAGTTTTCGTTGATTTAGTTTTCGTTGATTTAGATTTTGTTGTTTTAACAAAAGATGTTTTTATTTTGTTACTATTATTGGATTTTCCCTGTATTTCACAATTTTGCTTTAGATACTCGTTCAAGGGTTGACCCCCACTCTCATTCCTCCCCTCTTCGATACACTTTCTATTAATTCTAATAAATAAATTCCACTCACTTTTCGTAATATTCTTAAGATGTGGCAAACATTGACCACTTCTAACATTGGCTGGTATTCGGGTATACCTCGTGTTTCTGCCGCCGATATAAACGGGCACTTCATTCAGACTTATGTACTGTTCGGCCGCCATATTCGTGAACTTAACTTTTTTCCGATAGTCAGGAGACATGAATTGAAGAGTAAATTTGAGAACAGTCTGTATTATCGGAATAATATCGAACATAACGGGCAAAAAGTTTATTTTTGCCAGATTTGAATTCACCATAATCGTCATATCGTATATAATATTAGCTGTTATGTTCGCAATGGAAATAGAATTACATTTAGAATAATATATGTGATTGTATTTAATTATACTCTCGTAACATATAATTCTCCAGACTCATATTCGAGTAGGTTATATACCCTACCCCGGTCACATTTTTACATGTGTCAATAAAATCGGCAATCATGTGCAAAATAAATAGCCTATATAATCTGTCGATAGCGTTGTTATTAGTCAAATGCATACACCGGCCGACAATTCCCAAAACAGGTCCACCCGTTTTTGATAACCCGAACGTGTATTGAAATCCTGCGGCAAAAAACTCTGAGGGATAGTCTCGGGGATGAAATGGCCGATTGGTTGCATTGATTAATGCATTGGTTTCTGTCAATACTGACAATGGATTGAAAGACGAAATATTAAACAATTTATTCAAATCTGAATTGAATATTGTTTTGTCGGCCACTTGTTTAACCAAACCAAACGGATTCACCGAACCAGGTAGAACCTGGTCAAATGTTTTCAAATTTTTATTTAATATTGTTTTGTTAGCCATTTGTTTGACCGGATTCACGAGTTGGTCAATGAAACCGTACGACAGCGCAAACATTTGCATTAATACTATTAATAATAATTTATACATTATCTCAGTCTTTGGGTATCTAATTGTGGACCAAATGT